AAGATGTTGGGCTAGTGGACCATTTGTAAGGTGGAAAACCCCTTATTAAATTTGGCGAGAGAGGAAAGCAAAATATAAAGGAAAAATAGGCAAAGTCGTGAGAGCCTTGCTGCCGTAAACAAAGAACGTTTCCCTGACACAAAAAAATTGTAAAGCCTGATTACTCTTTTTCAAGATTATGCCCTTTTATTAAATGCAGCTCAACGATAAAACTGTACCCAGGGTATTTTAAACTTTTATTGTCAATATGAGAAGTCTCAAAAGTGCACCGGTCATTATTTATCGCCGGGAGGACGGAGGATTTTAGGGGGATCACTTGATTTTTAGGGGAACAAAAAGGGGGGATCAGTCGTAACTGAGAACCCAAAAGGGGGGATCACTGAAAACTTTGGAAGGATTCAGAGAGGGGGACCAATCAAATTTACTTGGAAAGTTAAGACATGGGCGGGAGGGGATCGAGAAAGTCATCAAAGTTATTAGGGGGATCACTTCAGTGAAGTAACCGTCAAAGGGGGAATCGGCTAAATTTCACCTTGTTTAGCCGCAAATGCTCCGCGAAGGCAAGTGCGAAGCGAGCGAGGAGCGCCTTACCAGGTCGCTTGTGTCTGGCTCTCCTCATTCGCTTACCGCTTGCCTCTGCTCGCCTAAAAAACTGAAATAACGTAAAAAAAATATCATCGGTTATGCAGGCTACAGGGCCGAGTTGTTCAAAGCTCGGTTAAGATAACCCAGGGTTAGTGCGATATTTGAATTCAGATTTGAAAGCTTAAAAAGCATTTCAGCTTTAATTCTTTTTCTCTACAAGTTGAAGCTCTAAAAATTGCGCAGAAAATTATACGAGAAAATGCTTTTGAACACAAGAAAAAGAAACCCGGGTTAATTTTAACCCCGGGTTAAGCGCTAATCGGCCTTCGAACAACTCGGCCCAGGAATAAAAGAGATCGGGCCGATTTGCTGGTATCTAAGAGACCCAGGAAGAGGATACTTGGCAGACGTTTAGGGATGGCATTGCTGCCAAGGGTTTGAAACCTTGAAGGCTTCCCTTGGACGAAAAACTCCAAAGATACCTATCTTGCGTACAGGACACTCCCCACCTACCTCTCCCTTAATCCGAAATAAACACTAAACAAGACAGGATAAAGGGGACAGAGAAGGCATCCCCCATACACACCCTATTCCATAGGTAATTCGTCTCGAGTTATTTTTAGAATCGGGATAAAGTTACCTCGCGCGCTGCGTGGATGTTTCGTGGAGGTTTCGCATGACTAAACCCCTCGGGCGAAAGGCAATGAAAGCGTAAAGAGATCGAGAGCATTTTTGAATATTGAAGCGAAATGAGTCGGCGCTTACCTGGGAAAAGGGAATTGCTAGACTCTTTGACAACCCGTGAAATCAGTTTAACTCGAAGTTGTCGTAACCTCAGTGCTTTAATAAAATGTGAGAAATTTCGCCGGTCTATTGAAACCGGTCGTTTGTACAATAAAGCAAGTAGGACGCCAAGTGTTATTTTTGTTGAATAATAAAAGACTAATGAAAGAATAAATATCAAACCAGAAATTGCTCTCTTCAAACTGTAAATTATAAATGATCCTGAAGAATATTCAGTGTGTTAAGGATTTCACTGCTGTAGTGTTAGCTCTATACAAGAGAGGAAGGGCAATTCTTTTTTAATTTCCGTTTTGCTGACACAGCTTTAGCAGAAATCTCTCTGTAGCCGTTTTCGTCGACAAAACGAATAGCAATATCGCTCTTCGCGTCTTCCGCCATTTTGTTCTGCGTCAATTCGTGAAGGACGCCTGGCTCTGAGCGGGGTCATCCACGCGGAACACATTCGCGCTATGTGATTGGCTGTTGTCTAATCCCCCTTGGGATCTGTGGTCTTAAAAATAACTCGAGACGAATTACCTATGGAATAGGGTGTGTATGGGGGATGCCTTCTCTGTCCCCTTTATCCTCTCTTGTACTAAATTCTCAAGTTGGGACAAAATGTTGGCTAAGGGGAGGGGTAGGTAGGTTGTGTCCCTGTTGCTGACTATTGGTCCTAAAATCGTTCGTCAAGATCTTAATCTTCCAATGTTATAATTTCCTTTTTGATGATTTTTTTTTTCAGAAAGCTGGATCGATAAAAACTCAGTCGCATTAAATCAAATTTAAAAATATTCATTACGTTTTAATTTTATGTGCATTTTTTTATGAATTACTGAACAGTTTTTTGGTTATGACAGATCTACAGATTACTCCGATAACCTGGGGCTAGTGGAGTTTGCCTTGGCGCAAGTGTATTCCGTTCCTAAAAAGTTGTTTCATTATGGGGAATTCAAATTACCCATTCACCCTAAGTCAAAATTAAAATTCCTAATAAATTCACTTCTTGGACCCAAAACTATTTTCAAACCCATCTCAAAATGAAATCTGTAAAAACACGTATGAAAAAACTATAAACGTGAACGTGAACGTGAACGTGAACGTAAAGAGCTGAGATTGTATCTAAATATTTATTCACTCCACCAGTTAACATACCAGGTAGGGAGGTGTTATGTTAGGAAGGCATGCATTGGCTGAAAAGGCCTCGTTTATATGGAGAAAAGTTTTCCCATGTACCGCTTACTCTAGCTACCTCGGGCGAGCCAACTTTTCATACATTTCAGTTACAAAACGTGGCGAAACTTCAACACGGAGAAACAAAAAGTTGGCGGCTGCTTGAAGGGCGTCCCGCCTACCAGGATCACTCTTTTTGATGGTAAGCTACAGTAGGTCACCCTTCTTGTCGGGCCAACTTTTCTTCATATTAACAGTTTGGCTCGCCCTGTCGGGTCACTCTTGATCCCAGAGCTCTTCTGTGCGTGACGGTCAGAGTCAGAAGCGTAAGCACTGTGGTCGAGAATGCCTGTCGGGTCAACTCGATCGATCAATACTTATTGTTGGGTTTATTTGTCCTCCGACCATCCATTTCAAGTTTATTACAAAGGGCGACAACTTTGACATAATTACAAAGTGCGACAGCTCATTTTATTACAAAGTGCGGTAGTCTGTTATTACAAAGTGCGGCAGCTTTTTATTACAAAGTGCGAGAATTTTATTACAAAATGCAATAGGTTTTATAAAGTGCGACGATTATTACAACGTGCGACAGAACACGGCGGTTCGAAACGAACAATACTCTAGAAAAAAAAAACAACTTAAGAATTTTATGCCTGGAGGAGCACACAGGAGAGAACCTTGAAGAAATACTATTTAGACCAAAGCTATAAGGCTTTCTGCTGGAGGCCTGCTTTTTGTCGATGTCCGCAAGAAGCGTTTCATCTTCAATTTAAATTTACCGTAAATAAGTGGATGGTGTATGCTTCATTTATGACACCCCATTTCGTCCCCTTTGATGGGAAACATAAAATGCAGGAGGGCCTCTACCAGCTTACGGTGAAGAAATGAAATAAAATTAGCTTACTTAGGCCACACTTTCGTCGGTCAGCAAGGCTGGTCTAGCCTTGAGACAGAATCGCAAAGCCAGCCGAGATCGCCCCAGATGGTCAAAAGAACACAAAATGAGGTCAAAATAGATTTACTTTATTTCTTGTCTTCGCCATATAACCTCAGTAAAATACGGCGATTGTTTTCCGCCTTTTTCGGTTCCAATATAAACCCTGTAAGATTTTACGTTACGCAATATTAGAAAAGTCAACATTACTGAGTGCTCACATTTTGGCCGGCCTGAGCTGACTGGCCAAACGGGGTCAGACATATGCATGTATGCATGCAAGCGCCACGGCCTTACACGTGAGCTTTCAACTGTTAGATTTCTACAGTCGACTCACGATAACTCGAACCCACGCTAACTCGAATCTCGCGCTAACTCGAACCCTCCGTAATACATTCACTGTAATTTTACCCTCGGTAACTCGAACCAATTTTCGTTTCCCCTCAGGTCATTTTCTATATAATTTTACCCTCGATAACTCGAACCATGTTTTGAGCCCTTTAAAAGTCGGGAAAAAAGCCGTCTATCGACGTCTACTGGCGTCCGAAACATTGAATTTTGGATTTCCCATTGACGTGTTGTAGGAGTGTAGTTTACTAGTGGAGGCTGATGTTGATTGTCACAGGCTAGTTAACGTGAAACAGTTTTACTTCTCAAAACAGTAAAACGCATGCTCTATTCAGGCTATGTTTTGTTACGTTACGTTCTGATTTATAATCTAGAAGTATCTTTAATATTCACTTGACAAAATGTTAAAATGTTTACTGTGCAATAAAAACTGTTTTTTAAGAGTCTTTTAATACCTTACTCTCGGCTATTTTCTTCGAGGTCCCGATAACTCAATTTTTTTTTTCGATTTCCCTTGAAGGTTCGAGTTATCGGGAGTCGACTGTATATGTTATTGTGGTGTGACACACAGCTAAAAATACTGTTGTGTTTAAAGTTGGCGTGTTGACAGGGATTAAGTTGTTGTGAATTCCGTCCTTATTCGGAAAATTACTCAGTGTCAACAACACAACGAACAAAAATTTGCTGGCATAATTCTTCTGATCGACTTTGTTACACGTATTGGACTCTTCTAATTTACAACCCCTACATGTATATAAGTATAAGTATATATGCCCTTTTCAAATTTCAATCCATCAAAAGAGTCGGTTTCCGGGTTTATTTTTTGGAATTTCAAGCTATGAAACTAAGTAGATTGTTCAGCTTTTTTGTCACTGATATAAAAATTATAACCCCTAATAAAGTTCAATGCTTTACAACAGTGAGTGCCAGACTAAGAAAGATCACGAAGAATACTTAGCCGTGTCCACAAGTCACATTTAACACTTGTCTTCATTTCTACGGCGTGAAGCAAACACGTCACGAGACTATTCACGTGATCATTCAAACAGCTGAGGTTAAAGGTATTTAAAACATGCAGTGTAGCTTGGAGGCAGGTTCATTTCAGGTTGTCTTGGCTGTAGTCTACCAGAACAAACGTATTTCAGCTGTGTTTTACACTTGTTCAAAAAATCAAACGATGATCAACATTGGAAAGATTGTTTTGGAAGCCGCTGTGAAAGCCGTTGTTAAGGAAGGTGTCTCTGCCGCAGTTCGAGGAGCGACAAAATCTCGAGCAAATATTCCAACTGCAGACATTCAAAGATACATCAAGGTCATCGAGAGTAATGTTGACGATATTAAATCAAGACTGGATGGAATTGCAATGAAAGACCTTCTAGCAAGTGCAAGCTTCTTCAATGAAGGCTTGCTGTACTTGGACAGAGTATTTGATAAGTTTCATTTGTCTGATTTTCAGACAATTACAGCAAAAGCGGAAGTGAAAACGGAAGGTGGAAAACTAAAGGTTGACTTTCCATCAACAACAGCGTGGAAAGCAGTGTTGTTTCTTGCTAAAGGACTTCACGAGTTGGATGAATCAACTAAAAGAGCATTATGTGATGCCAAAGAGAGATTCAAAGATGCCCGCAGGAAAGCTACCAAAGCATTCTGCAACGAGGCTCTAGAAACAAGTCAACGCATTTTAGCCATGAAATATCGTGTTATTGCGACCATACTAGAGAAAATTGAATATCCTGAAGAAGCGATACCCCTGTGCAAATTATGCCTTGAAGAGCTTCACTCTGATCCAGTCGTCAAGCAAAGTTTCATGATCACGAAACAGAACCAAACAATTCAAAAGGAAGTCCGTGAGTTAAATAGCCTCGTCTGTGACGCCACACAAATGGTTAGTGGAGGCGGAGCGCTTCTTGCTTGGCCTTGTATTGTGACAGGAAGCGGGAAAATCGATCCTGTACACGAGCGAACGCTCAGAGAACATTGTTGTCAGACATGGTCGTTTGGGCAGAGTGCGAATGATGACCACAGGCTAAAGTTTGCGTGGAGCATTTCTTCTAATTCCCGCGGAGAATTTATTGTTGGGGATAGCGTAGATCGCAACATTAAAGTGTTCGATGACCACGGAATGTTTCTGTATTGCCTCCATCCTTTCGCTTATGAAGAGCAATCTGAGTATGAAAGAGAAATATGGAACATTGCTTGTGACCAGCAAGACAATATCTACGTGCTGACATTGATTAGAAATCAGGATGGTCGTGCTGATGTGAGCGTAGTGTATGTGTTCAACGAGCAGGCTCATTTGATTCAAAAGTTCACTCTGAGGGAAGGCTTTAGAGGATACGCGCTGACAGTCGACGACTTCAATCGAATTTTTGTAAGTGGAGGAAGCTTTTCAGTTTGCTTCAATGATACGGTGGAAGTGTACGAGGGCGATGGAATGTTCATTCAAAGCTTCGGAAAGGAGACGTTGAATAACGCACAAGATATTGCGGCAACTTACGATGGTCATTCGTTAGTTCTGGACACTGATAAAGACTCCACATGTCTTCGCGTGTTCAGTGCAGAGGGTCACCAACTTACTAGGTTTTCAGTTGCAGGGTCGATGCCTGACACTGGTGCGGCTGTGGATTTTCACCGCCCGAGTGAAACAGTTCTTGTTGCTACAATGCAGTCCGAAAACCATCTGGAAGTGTCTATGTACTCCAAAGACTTTAAGTTTGTGCGTGTCATTCAATTTAGACCCCAGGGAGATAGCAGCTTTATAACAGGGGTTACTGCGACAGTGAAGGGAAGCATTGCTGTACCCTGCAAAAACACAGTACTCTATGCTTGAAAATTAGGCGATCCTGGGGATACATTTTAGCCGGGAAATTCTAAATACGAACCACAAGGACCAGAAGAACGTCCGGTTATTGTCTAGTTAAACCTATAAAGCGTTAGCTTTGCCCAGCGTCGGTTAGTCTGCTACACAGCCGTTTTTAGAGTCGTCACGCAACGCTCCTCCCAACTAGTAGGAGAGGAGTTGCGTGACGACACTAAAAACGGCTGCGTAGCAGACTAAGCGTCGGTTTATAGCATTGAGAAACCGCTATATTCCCAGACTAACGAAGCCCATACCTTATATTTTTGTTTTCTTTTTTCATTAGCAGCCTTCAGAAGCGGCTGGCAACACTACACATTGATTGAATTTATTAAATTGTGTAGCATTATAGGGTAAAGTAACACTCACTTTAAAGTTCACAATTTTAATGGCGGCTAGGCTTAGCTAAAAAAAATCAGGATTTTTTTTAGATTTTTTGACGTTCAAAAAATTTTTGGTAAAAATCTTAGTTGAGATTTTATACGAATTTAGTATGTTTTTCGAAGATTTTCAGAACTTAAACTGAAGAGTCAAAATATACATCTAGGTAAAATAGTTGAAAAAATATCAAGAGTTATTGCTGCCCAGTTCTGTAGTTTTTTTTCGAGTTTTTCGTATTTCCTTTCTGGATGATTTATAGCTTCTTTGATTTGTTATCGTATGGTTTTTGACACCGGCAGATATATTTGCCCTCATACAATCAACCAAACAAAGGAAATTCAATTTTAATTTGAAAGTTTATACTTGAGTCTCTCAGTCCACTGATTTATAAACAGAGTATCGCATGCACGATTGATTTGATTTTGTTCTTGAAATTCATTTTGTATGTACTTCAAGTATACAAAGGCAATGACTGTAACATGAATTTACTCAACAGAAATCGCCAATAAATGACTTTTAAACAATAGGGCGTGCATTTTGTCCTTCGCCTGATCGGGGAAGTAAAATTGGGCGTTGGTCCTAAACAGGGTCAGGGTTTCAAACCCAAAGGGGCTCACCCATAACCAAATACTGCCCGAGTACTCGTATCCCCGGGAGTTACCCAAATAGCGACAGAACAGCATGCAAGGCCCCTGGCTCCCATACCAAATGATAATTTTACCTCGATTTTCTTTTTCTTCATCAAAGGAATAAATGTTGTGAATCTCTTTACCAAGTTTTGCTGAAACCCATTACGCAGAACAACCGAAGGGTTCCCCTATACCCAAAAACTTCTGCTCGTAGGGTAGGCACTTAAAACTGAAATCAGCAAATTTGAATTAACCCTCAACTCAGTTTGCTTAACAACGAAGCACCAACAAAACTCTTTTTAATTTTTTCCGTGCATTCCAGACCATATTGAAATGTGAAAGCATTGGTGTTTGAGGAGAGATGATGAAAACCGGCGTACCCGTAGAAAAACTCAAGTTCTTGGTGCAAACGAAAGAACTAACAACAGGGTATAGTTTTTACTTTTGTCCTCTCTGTCCTTAACAGGGTGTATCATTTTGGGCGAGTTTAACAAAGAAAGTGTCGATAGATGGGAAATAGCGACTCTAGGATAGGGATGGATTTGGGGTGTTTAGACTAGTATAGGGTACCAAAATTCAACTGAATTAGGTCTGGTTTATGCTAGCGTTCCATTTCGAGAAAACAGGGGGAAAAGATTTTTGGCAGTGCATTACCCGTGACGAGATTATAACAGATTATAAGACCAAAGCTGTGATGATGCATACCAGCGAAGGCACAACAATAGTGACACAGCAGGAAAAGGTTACAAACGCGCAACTTTGTAGGAATTATAATCTTTATACACTGCTCGGCTCGGACGCGAGGAATTCAAACAGGTTAACTTAGTAACTTTATAATTTTCTCTTTAACGTTCTGTATTTTCTGTAACCGTTATATATCCTGACTGAATAACACTTCGAAAAAGTGTTTTATAGGTCGATAAACATGCCTAAAACAAAGACCAGATCTCGGCGGAAGAGAGAGCTAATCAAGTATGACAGGACTTGCCAACGATCAATTAAAATAATTAGCATAGAAAAAAATTTGCGCTCCATAAGTCTGCATAGAAAAAACATTTTTTCCTAGAATTTTTTTTAAAAGAAAGCTCTTGGTGAGCTCTAATTAATCATCTAAAAATTGCAAATTTCGAAAAAGGATGATTTTTTACCCTGGATAATACCTTTAAGGCTTAAACTAACCCCCAAAGGAGACTATACTAAAACAGAGCTATGGATCTAGTAAATGCCACGGATGTTGTGTTATTAGGTTTCTGTCAAGTCAGTGTCACGACATTTTTATGTTTCGTTCGACATCTGAATCAACGGTCGAACTTATGTCATTTGGGTAGAACCAAGGAGCTAAATGGATATACATGTATTAGTCGCGTACATGAAAAGATTGACGTTTGAACTGGGCCTAAGAAAAATAAAATAAAATAAAGTTCATCACGGGGATTATTGTCGTATCTTCCTGTCTCAATCAAAAGCTTGTGGCTGCTTATTCCTAGTTTCACTAATGCTTTCCTAGAAAAAATAGTTTTAAGTAGCCCCCAGGGGCTCTTGGCACTCGTGGCTACTCTGTAAACATTATTTCCTTTTAGATCAGGCCAAGTGAAACAACCATAAAATTGAAAGAAAAACTTGTTAAAGTTTTTATCTTCCATTAAATAATTCCTATTTTAACCGATCCTGTGAAGAGAGAAGAGAGACTTCAATTTCTAGGTTGCGTGACAAGTGTTTTTGATACACCCTGTGATGCACCGTACACTCACGCTCGTCGCTCCCATGATGCCCTCTGCCAGGATTGTCTGACTTCCTCAGTTGCCAAACGTTTTATGCGTCGATACAACATCGTCAAAATCGACGAGAAGGAACTGAAGGTGTATCCAGTTTTAAGCCAAGTTAGTTGATTTTCTTATTTTTCGTCTTCTTCAAGAGAACATAATAAAAAGCCTTATGTTCTCTTGGCTGCTTTCATTTGACTTTCTCACTGACGTTATGTATTTGGGTTTAGGCCGATGTCATGTGATCACTCTCTCTCTTCTCCACGGCAATGTTGAAAATGAGGTAAATTCCTCGGTATTTTCTCTTTCTGTTAGTTACAGTGGAATTTTTGACAACAATGGTTTAACACTGTGAGACACTGTGAAATGTTTGTCCAGATTTTTGAACCCAGAAGTCATTTCATAAGTAGGTGCACGATATCTTTCATCGTGATTTTATTTAGACCTTAATTCCATACTCAACTGTTGTATATGTCGATCCACGATAAGTCAGAAAACAAACCATAGGAACAATCAGATATAGTTCAAATATTTATCGTAAAGAAAACAGACAATTTTATTGTATCTAAACGTCTTGCGTGACGGAAAAGTTTGATGGCAAGTCCTACAACGTAATAAAGCTTCAGGATAAGAGCTTTCTTTTATATGGGGAAAAGGGGCAGTTTTAATAGCATTAGATGTTTCGAAAAACGTACTTACTGCTTACTTTTAAAGGTAATGTTTGCTAGGTAAAGCAGTTACTCTTTATAATGGAAGCCTGAGCAAGGGTTTCTCTGAATTTTCCTTGCTTTGCAGGGGTCAAACAAGCATAAACATTTATTAACACTTCCAGAAAAGCTTTCATATCGACTGCGAGATGTTTCTGCTCCCCTTAGAGCTGATTTTCACACACTAGGCAGATCTAGCAAAGAAAACGTGAGGACAGTATGAAACAGTGGCGAAAGTGCGCGCAGAATTAAAATCCGGCTTAACCAATGGAATCGACGCGCTTTCGTGTTCTCATTTGACTACGTTATACCTTTCCATAGGCATCAGTTACGTGTCCTCCTGAAACATGTACTTTTAAAAATCCCTTCAAACAGATCAGAACAGATATATACTACACTATACTACACTACACTATATACTATATACTATACCATACTATACTATATACTTAATGTGACTTATGCATCTAATTCAGGATAGTGTTTTCGCTCTTAATTTTTGCAACTTCTTGGAGAGAGCCCTGTGAACGAGGTTATAATATATCTATGGACGAAAAAGTTCGTTTCACATCAGAACTCCTTAAGGCTACCGTATCATCAGATAAACGATAAAAATGCTGAACGGTGAAAGTAAAACCTCGTTGATACGACCACTAATGGGCGACAAAATCCTGGTTGTATTTAGATGAGAAGATGCCTGAGTTTCAACAGGTTGATCGAAAGGCGGACCCCATTGTACCGAATTGGCCGTGTAAACCCAAAACACTCTTGGAATGAATTATGAATCTTTCAAAAGAAACGGCTCCATCTGTATTCAGTTTCACATGGTACTGTTTGTTTTTCCGCTCATTGGATTTTTTTGTCGAGTTTTGGCTTTGGCCAACCTCTAGGATTCAAAGCGTTAAGATAATTGATTGATTGACTGTTTTTTTGTTTTTGTTTTTTGTCTTTTTCTCAGTAGTTTGAAGAATAAACTACTGTGGTCGAAATAAAGCCGAGGTGGTCTTAAGGCTGGGCTTCCCTTTATCCGAGTTTATTACTTTTCTCTGGTTCATTAACCTTGTGTGCAATTTATCTCTTGTAGGAGATGTCACAATGATGGAACTGACTGCCTGGAATGTAGACAAGATATAACGTGAAAAATATGTCGAACTTCCTGGAAAACGACTGCCTTGATAACAGCGATGGTATGAACACCCTCTTGGAGTCGTACTTAGAAGAACTCGATTCTTGGCAGAGAGGAGTACACAATATTAGAATTATGCATCATGATGTTTGGAAAGGAAGTAGACTGTCCCCTTATATAAAGCAACACCGAGCTGGTAGCAGAGTGGAGAGGCAGACAAGAATCTTACCTACCGGCGGCCAGACGGATGTTGATTACATGTTTGAGGTCGTTGGACTAGAGGTACTTTGTGATGGGAACCAAGGTTCCATGTACTTCAAATCCTGTCCTTGCGAAAACTTTGTCAGAGATGCAAACTATGATATGACGAACACATACGGAAAGATTTATGTAAGTTGTGCCTACAAATCCCGTTTGGAATCTCATGAAATTTATGGCAAGATATTTTCAGACGCCCTTAGTTTTGACGAAATGGAAAAAGCGTTCTTACTCATTCCTGGAAAGTTTAAAGAGAATGTCGTGCTAAATTGTGGATTGGATTACACACGAAACGAAGTTCTTCCCTCCACCGTGAGTCCCTCAATATCTGGGCAAGGTGCCTTGAATGAATACGATGGGGTTCCTTGCCTCAGACTTGCCAACTGGCCACACATAACATTAAAATGGGTCACGCGGCTAGGGAAAAATGACGTCACGTTTCAAAGAGAGTGGAAATCGGAAGTTGTTCAAAATGTCCCGCTTTTCCTTGTCCCAACCGGAAATCCTATGGCAGAGGAACAGGACTTGCAATTCCGGTTATCATTCTCTATGGTGGAGATAGCTTGCTTCCAACAAATGAGTTCTACAATGAGGAAGATGTACGGCATCGTCAAATACATTTTCAAGGATTTGTTCCATGTAAGCGGTCTGTTAAGCTCGTACCATGTCAAAACTCTGATGCTATGGAAAATAGAGCAAACACCGATTGATGAATGGAGGTCCAAGAAAGCGACTGAATTTATCAAAGAAATGATGGACGAAATTTATCAATCTTTGAACACTAGCAACATCCCACACTTCTTTGTTGAGAATTGCAACATTTTTCCAGTTCATAAAGTCACCGATAAAAATATTCTCGAATACTCTACCATTTTCCAGAACATGCCAAAACTGCTAAGAGAAACTGTTGAAAATTTATTACGTCAAGATTTGGGAATTCCATCCGGTGAAATGACGCTTAATTTGGCGATGGTCAAGTTAGAAAGAATTCACCACACAGGGTTAGAAGCGTACATTGCTGGCTACTTGACGAGGCTGCTTAGCGTTATTACATTTTCCTTGACAGAGAACTATGAAGAAAGTCATGAGCTTGGGAAAGCGTCTTGGGAAGAGATGAAAAGAATATTTGCCAAGTACGATCACGATCAGCATGTTAGCAGAATCATTCACATGGTTAATTCCTGTATCAGTCGTCTCGACCCCGGGTCTAGAGTCATTTGTTCAAGGACTGGTCCTGAAGACTGTTCTATTAAAAGTGATAATATGAGTCGCTTAGTGCATGAGGCGTTTGAAGCGTACACGAAAGGAGACTTAACAGGGGCGATAGAATACATCAGAAGCGTAGATTCTCATCCGCAATCCAATAATTCTACACCAGAAGGGATTGGAATATCGATTACCAAATTTCATAAATGCTTGTACAACGACAAACCAATACGCAATGTGATCCAGTTGCTTGAAAAAGAACACAATGGGCGTTGTCCAAGGTTCTATTTGGCTCCCTGTCTACTTCTACAACACTTGAAGATTCAACTGCGAATGAGCTTTTCTCTTTCCAGTACGGCGGCTCTTCAGGAGGAGATAGAGGAGCTTCAAAGTATAGTCCAAAAATTGTCATTCAAAGAGCCATATCTCGGGAGACTGTCCTATAGATTTGCGGGCGTTTACCTTTTACGAGGATACAAGCAATTCATAGGTGATCAGCAGCTCCATGTGTCAGTTTCTGTTCCATCTGAAGAATTCAATCAGAGACGTTTTGCAACAAATTTCAATTTAAGATGACTCACCCTCACACCGCTAAATTCGTTATAGAATACAATACGGTCGAGCCTCGTTATTACTGACATTAAAGGGACAGATCCGACAATTACTAGTGTTTGCGTTATGGTTATACAGCTACGAGAGAGAACTGTTCGTTGTAGAACTATACCCAGAAAGGGACTGGTTCGACTTTACGAGGTTGTAACTTTTGAGTCCTTTGATATAGCCGTCTTCACCACTGATCACTTTCTTGGGCCTATTCTTCGAGACCGTAGACCATAGCATTTACGAAATACATGTGATGGTGCAATTTTTTTCTTCACCAGAAATAAACGTTATTAAGACTTTCAAAATTTTTTTTTTCTTTAAAAATAGGCAAAACGTTCCATTGTCTGCTCTCCTATCGGGTGAATTTCCACTGTCGCGTAATTTTTCCGTGCGTACGCGTGTAAATAAAATAGAGACAATGAATGTCAATGAAGGTCACACATACGTAAAAGTTGAACCTCTCTCAACTTTTACTATACACCCTTTTACTACCAAAAGTGGCCAAAGTTAGACTTCAACAAAATAAATAAGCCCTAGGCCTTTTTCCGGGCGGCCTAAGCGTTTCGGGTCACGTGATCCGAGCGAGGTTCTTCCCACAGGAATCTCTCGACCGTTCGTCTCGAATACGTCTCTGAAAAGCAATGACCATCTCAATAAGGTAGTAGCTTTGACTATTGACGGTTAATTTTTTCTAATTTTTGACGGTTGGCGATTAAATCTTAGAGTTTTTGAAGAGTGACGGTTATTCAGTGGAAATTTAGGATTGTTTCGGTCCAAGAGTTTAAGTAAATATAAATTTCTGTACAAATGTAAACTTTGGGGCTTTTCTTCTTCTTCCATGGAACCCCAGCTGTTACAGTCAACTGTTTTATGGCTTTTCGTGTTCCCTTTCTTAGGCATTAATGTTTCTTTGTACGAGTATAATAAGCTTTTATTGCGGGTAGCTCAACGGATGCCTTTACTCACGCACAATTAAGTTAGCAAAGATAACTATTCTTTGTTCTTAGACCGGATTTCTAAGACCGTACCTAGAATTTTTTAGCCAGTTCAATTAAACAAGTCAACGAGTTCAGGCAGAAGCATATGCTTTAGCCTGCGAGCAAGCACTCCTATTTGGGAGAGCAAAGCAAGCCGCGCGAGAACTCGCAAGCCAGCGGCCGAGGGGCCGCTTTCGAGGAGCTACTTTCGTTTCCTCTTGCGTGCCTCTCGCGCCTGTACTTTTCACCAGCTCCTGCTTTTCACGATAAATATGCTTCCGGTTCAAGTTAAGACAACGTTTTCAACTTTTGTTATCACTCCCTTAGTCAGATACAGAAGTAAGTTTGTAACCTTTTTATCATTTTTACTTTTTTGTTTAATCTAATTCTAGTTCTTGTTATTTGTTCTTAGTTTTCGAATCCGCTTTTGTTATATCGCTTCATTTCTCGTTTCATCGCTTCGCTAGACAACGCTTCACATCGCTATGGCGTTTTTTCGTTTTTTGGAGACAGGCCCTCCCCCGCCCCCCTCCCCTCCCCCCCTTATCTGAAGGTCTGGGTCCGCTACTGTACATACCGTCCTGTGAGCAACGCGAATTTAAGTACTTAACGTGGTTCTGCTCTCACACCACCTCCTTGAAAGATGAGGATTTGTGTGAGGGATTCTCATCTGGAGGTCATCTTGAACTCTCATTTATAAAATTATATTTCAGTTCAGATATTAGAAAGTTGTAAGGACTTTCTGTGTCTATAAAAGAAGTTCTTTGGAGAACAATGGAATTGGTTTTTCCAGTTTAAAGACTCTTTAAGAGCCAGAAATCCGTGAATGTGATCAGCTGAAATAGTTGAGATTTGAAATCCCTTGAAACTTTTTGATGGCTATTTTTGCATTTTTGACGGCTGAAAAATCGATGATGGGGCTTTACAAGCAACAAAATTTCAAACTACAGTGGAACCCCGTTAATACGGTCACCAACGGGCCAAAAAAAGTTGGCCATATTAACGGGTGATGGCATTAACGAGGGTTTTTAACAAGAAAATGTATGGCCGTTTTGCCTGGCGGCCAAAAAAAAGAGGCCGTAATAACGAGGTAGCCGGGGGTTCCACTGTACTAATATATAAGAAGTATTTCGCGCAAAAATGAAGAAATCGGGAAAGTGGCTTTACATGTTGGGGAGATTGTTTTTGTAGGAGCTACTTGTTTCTCTCACAAGAAATACAGTCTTTTCACTTTCCATATTTAAAATACCCAAGGATTATCGAGGGCAGAAGGGATTCTCAACTTGTTCCCAATGCTCCACCAACACTCACCGTTTTTTCCCAATAGACCAGCGGTTTCATCAAGTAGACGTTTTCCATTTGTTTATACCAACGCGAAAAACATGGCGGACAGATTTTGCGATCGTCGAGGTATTATTCTAAGCCTAATTTTTGCTGGAAGAATCTTTGGAATTACGAGGTAATTCGCAGATTCCATACTCACGATAAAGTTAATTTCCTTGACTGATTTTTTGTTTTTGTTTTTATGTGACAGATTGGAGCCAGAGAAACCGTTATTTAACCAGGTCTGAGTTTAATAATTAATAATAAGCTAATAATACATGTTCATTACGATAAACCTAATTCAGTCCTTTTAGAAGGACTTATGGTGAGATTTCTGTGCAGCCTTCTACGTTTATTATGCTCACATGTTTCGTGTGAAATCATTTGAGATTGCTGTATGCATAATAAGTACATGGGGCTCAGCTGTATACGGAAATGTTACCCCAATCCATTAACCCAGAAATGTCAAAATCACCCATAATACAATGAATAATAAGTAAAAATCACTTTATCACTACTGAATAGCCATTTTTTCCGCTCGGAGATACTCTTGATACTATGCGCGGTTTCTATGAAAGTGAATGGAATCTATTCTATTTTAGATGCTTTATTCTTTTGCCAATAAAAAATCCTAAAGATTTTTTTTACATTTACAATATTCAGTAAACAGAAAGACGCATTAATATACTGGTCAGTGTAAAATGTAGACAGCGGACTACTGTTTTCACCATGCAAATGAGTACGTGACAAATAGTCCCATTGTTTTCTAACCCTAAAAACAATAGTCTTTCGTCAGTCTGCAGTCTGCATTTTACACTGCCCCATAATATACGGTACCCTTTGGTGCAGAGCCAGCACCAATGTTTTTATGTATACTTTTCAAAGCTAAGTGACTCTGACATCATAATATTATTAGGTTCTGCAGCACCAAGAAACAGTTGTGTACCATTTAGTACAGCTGAAGCCTGGAAAAAATTATGAGCTACGAGTATCATATCGTTCCACTGTAAGTTAACCATCTTTACCTTTCTTATTTATTTAACGACGGTGTTAAACCTGTCGGGAGCTCAAAAGAAAAATGAAAATAAAGCAAACTTTGTTTAAAAAAAAAACAGGAAAAAATTATGATCTCCATAGCCCCCCCTCCAACCCATGAATTAATGAATGGCCTCTTAGTGACCACCCTTTATCACAACCACATTAAATTATTTTCACTTGAAAATCCTTAATAACATAATGGTTATGTTATTATCTTTTTCAAAACCCTCCTCAGTGTGAAAGCCCGGAATTTTTACAAACAAGTTTTATGAGCCAAGCTTCATATTAATAGGATTTGTTACATTAAAAAATTGGTGTAACTGCTAGAAAAACTTCATGCTTCCACCACAGTCAGACGGTTTATATTTTGAACCCCTTTCTCACCCAACACACACACAAACAAACCCCACAGAAAAATTCCGCTTCACATTTAATTTAGACCCTCTTTCTTTGAAACTTCTGCTGACCCTATCTTGAGGGTAGAAATGGATATATTCTGGAATCAGCTATTGTGAGTATGTGTAGCACTGGTGAGGGTATTTGTTTGACCTCTTTTGACATAGGGCCAAGGTATATAAACAGTCCAAAGTAGTTTTATAGGTTTTTATGCTTTTTGAAAAAAGTGATTTTGCTCTAAAATAGGGTTAAGTTTTGAAGAAGCATTCCACATAGATGGTTAAAATTAAGCTTAAGAAATAAATGCAAGAGACTTGTTATCTGTTTAATTAAATTTGATATCTACAAGTGTGTGTCTTTAACAAAATGTAGATAAAAAAATAACTTGATAAGCACTTCAAAATGGATCTTTAGATATGTTAAAAAGCTTGCATGTTTTTTGGCCCTATTTAACAACAGCTCTACCTTTCTCATTCTCTCCAAGACACCGACAGACTTTTATATTCGCTTAATTCCAAAAGATGAATTGCAGTTGAGAGACAGATCAAGACAGCTCCTCAATATTGATAAACTAGTCTTCAACAATCAGCTAACAGATACGGTATGAGTAGATTATAATGTTAAATAACAAAAAATGTCAGTCAAACCTTTCCACAACTGCCAGTTTTTTGTCCAAGTGGACGTACATTAATTTTACTCAACCTCATTCCCAGGGTTGTCTCCTACTTGCTTCGGCAGGACAAATCAGGGCTCTGAAAAAACTGGAATTCCAGCTTTTAATTGTCCTTTGGGCAAGCAGCTCTAACATTTTGCGTACCCGGGACCACTTCTTGCTCATCTTAGTTTATGATGTTGTTAGAGAATGACTATTGCCTGGACCCTTTCTCCACTGCATAAGTAAACTTTAAAAGTTACTTGCCCAGCAAGAAAATCTACCTGGACTACAGACCCAGACTACCGAATGGGACTGTTTCAAGTCCTGCAAGTATGAGAGACAACCCTGGAAATGAGTTGGTAAAGGCCTGTCAGTTTACCGATCTCCCTCTCATATTTTATATAGTCCATGACAGCAATGGCCATTTGAAAGCAAAATCTGTATAAACTGATGTACTTGCTGTACCTTAATCACTATTCTGCATCAATATGTTCTGACCTTTTGATCCCTCTTTTTTTTCTGTGTGACGTATTAAATTTATTGATACATGTATGCTGTAATATGAAGCATTTTTAAAAACTAAAGATGCTCCACCCTTTCCCCAAAATGGTGCCATATTTAAAGCTTTACCCACTCCCTTCCTCTCCCCCCTTGTAATGGCCACATCTCCACAGCAGCCACTGAGCTCATATTGCAAGTGACCAATGAAAAACCTCTACTGATTGCTAATTATCCTGGTATGGACTTCTGCAACTTCAGCAGAAGTTTTGGGTTGGGCTGTGATACATGGCTGCTTATCATGGAATTTATTTGCAGGAGCAGTTTGCAAATGTTACAGCCATAAGGACTGGAGTGCCATTGAACCCTGCTAGTTTAGGTGAACCTGTATTATACAACATAGGTAGGTGTAAGTGCGCCCTTCTTGAATAACTCAAACTAGCCTTCTCTAACATGTTAAGTGAAGTGCAGAAATAGGGCAACCTTTCATTTCATGTTTCTTTCTAGTTGTTAAATTTTTCTTCCCCTTCGCAGGGCTGTCAATCAATTCTGGGGGTGAGGGATTTCTCCCACTAGCATGACCCTGACTATTTCACAGGAAGAAAACAAACAAACAAACTACATAATAATTGCATATAATACCCAGCATCTTGACAGTCCTTTAGAATATTATTATATAATTCTTTTGCAAATTTTGCCCTTGCTTTAAGTTTTATTTTCCCTTGTTTGAACCTATTGTTGCATACAGCAATACATACATGTATTCAACAAAAAATAAAATTGGTACCCAGGAGAAGTGGTAAAGCATCGTCTCCTGTTTGGTTGGGCACTATGTGGAGTTCAACTTTGTCCGTAGGAGAGTAGGAGACTTTCTCTTTGGTGATTCATAATCTTTGTTTATTTTTCAGTTCTGGAGCAGCTATTTTTTGGTGTTCCATGGCATGTCTGGAAACTTGTTGTCCTTGTAATTGGCATTATAATTATAACCGTAAGATGTTTAGTTCCCAGAACATTAGCATTTATTGAAGAAAATGTGTTGTACATCCATAAAAAGAGATCTAGATAACAATAAAGCTTGTGGTAGATTATGGCTTTTTGTTTTGATTCATTGTTTGCACGAGAATTGTTGATGATAGGTTTTGCTTAGGGAGTCATCATAATTCATCAGCAGGAGGGGCGGAGAGTGGTGAGTGGGTGGGGAGGGCTTAAAAGTTCTACATCCCCTTGAAGTGGTGGGGGGGAGCAGAACATTTTTTTCCTTTGTAGATTGAGGTTGGGAAAATCCAGTTATAAACTGCTAGGTATCGTGATTCAGTATGGTTTCTAAAAGTCTTATGAAAGTATATGGTTGAAGAATATAAAGACTAGTATATGTACTTGGATAGCCATGCCAACTCACATGGCAGAATAAAACATGCAGAAGAGAATCCGATTGAAACTTGGTCGTCTAAGGATAGCTGTGCTTGGTAACAACCCATTTTTCAATTTTGGGCGTGGTTTTTAAGAAATCCCTTCTATCATAATGCAAAGCAAAGCAGAGCCAATATTACACAGGCACTCAATTTATTGAAAATCCTTTTTTTAGTGGAAATTCAACTGCTATCATTAACAAAGAAGATGACAAAGTCTTATACCTCGGTATATCTCAACAATTGCTTGTAACATGTTACTGACCTGCTCGTGTCAATAGAAATTACATTCCATCCTCATAACATGAGCTTGGGTCACCTGTAACTAACCAGGGAATGCCAAACTGGGTGAATTTTAGCTTTTCTGATTCGTTCCACAATGCCTGTTTTTAACAGAGCTGATTGTAAATTGCTTTTCCATAAAACACAAAAGAGACACTATTTTCATTCAGAGAATTTTTAATAAAATACTTTGTACAATATTATTTACAAATTAATGTTGCATCAGAGGGCAACTTTCTTTTTTAATGCTTGCAGATTAAACCTGATTTTAATTAGATAAACAGAACTTCCCGAATCAAACAGCAGAATATTATAGGCCTTGGATGGAATCAAGATAAAACATACTGAGCATGAGCATCTAATAAAGCAAATTAAGTAATCTGTCTAGAAAGGATTTGCAATGTATATAACTTTGTGTTTTTCAACAGTTTCAATGTCTCTTTCTAGTTGTTTCATTTCAGCTTCCATTCGTTCTTTGCGTGCTTTCTTGGGTGCTGTGTCTGTCACCACTGATAGGCCTTGGTATTGGTGATGTAGTTCCTCCCAATTCTTTTTTAGTCCATCAAGTATTCCTTGTCTGTAGTGGGATAATGAAATAAAAACTGCATAAGAAAACATCTAAGAGGTTTTCTTTAGAAAAAAATTATTAAATATGGCATAAAAAAGTGCTTTGATATTCAGTGTGCAAAGAAAGAAGTGCATAGCTTCAGCAGGGCCGTAGCCAGGAAGAAACTACAACCGAGGCGAACACACGGTCCGTTGTACGAAATCAGCCGTATGAAATCTTCTAATATTATCAGTCTGATAAAAAAAATAAAAATCGACAGTATTTGGTAAAATTTTACCGAGGCGAGTGCCTCGGTTTGCCTCATACTGGCTACGGCGGTGGCCTGGGACTAGTGAATTTTGCCATAGGCTAAAGAATTTTTTTCTTAACTTCCCTAAGTTTTTTTGAGTAACTTAAAGTACAGAAAATCTGTGTAATCAATACTGCTCATCAAATAGTTTTTGGGGCTAGTTGAAAAGACTCCTGGGCTAGTATATACTAGTGACATCTTGCTGAATTTATGGCAAGCTGTAACACTGGCTTTCTTTCCACCCTGATATTTCCTGAAACAACAGCCAGGGTGGTGGATAATACATCTACATTGTCTTTTTATTATTATCATTAAATTTGATGGGGAGTGAAGAAGAGGAAATCTAACCATCCACAGATATCCTAGCAAAGGCAGCACTTTACCCTGCAAGTGTTTGTCCAGCAGGGCAGATCAAACTCATCCACCTCTTAACCAGTTCAGCTAACCATTAGGTGGTTAATAGTGAGAGACTGAAATATTTTTTTGGTGGGTATTTATATGTAGCTGCCACTAGCCCAGGTTAACAGGTGTCCACTAAACAATTTATTAACACTGTACTCTATTTCAGAGTGGAGTGATTCATAGCTTTTTGATTGATTATTGCATTTTTTATTTATTTTTTTTTTTCTGAAAGCCATGTGTAGATTATCAGGAGAATTAAGTGCTACCCTCAATAGAAAAAGTTTTATTACTATTATCATTATTATTATTATTATTATTATTATTATTATTATTATTATTATATCTGCATTACTGTTCTGTGAGAAAAACTAACACCAATTAAAATTTGCTTCTTTTCAACACTCTCACAACAAACTGGTCTTTGCAACTTTGATATATTATTATATCCTTCTTGGCAAGAGACATATCTTCCTGCAAAGGAGCGAAATTAAACCCCCAAGCTTTGATCACTTTCTTGAATTCGTTAAAGACAAGTTAATTGTGCAAAGATCGATTTTTTATTCCAAAGGACAAAAAGCAAAATTTCTTTCACAATGGAAGCCTCTCCTCTCCTTACTGTAAATGATTATAATCTAATCTACGTATGCGTGAAGCAAGCCTGGTTGCAGTGTATGTTGTATTAATCGTTGGAATCTTAATTCTTAATTGTAATTTTTTGTAACCTTAAATCTTGTAGTGAAAGTGTTGTAAGTGATGTAGTGGTAATAAAGATCTCTGTTAATAAAAAAAAACAAAACAAAACAAAACAAAACAAAAAACAAAAAAAGAACTGTAAAATTCTCCGTTACCTTTCGCTTTCTGTTAAGCTCTTCATGGCACCTTGCCTAAATCGTTCTTGAACATAGGCATCATATTCCTTCTGAGCTCTTTCTACTTCAGCTTTCCTTCTCTCTAAATAGGCCGGAGTTTTGCCAAAATCTTTCTTGTTGACATACTTTGGTGTCAATCCTGAAGGATCAAGTGGGTGCGTTGCACCTGCTCGAGTGTCAGCAAATTTTTTCTCTGGTTTCCTTGGTACAGACATGATATTTTCCACAGCATTTGTCTTGATGTGGTCTTTGTTTGAACGTAGCCCCATAAGAGGTTTTTCATCATGTTTTGGAACAGGAGGGCGTCTGGTATTGTGGTCCGGATACTTGAAACCAGTCTCTAACAAATAAAAATTATGATCTAATTAGCATTCTGTTGTGTAACTATATACAATAAGCTTCATGTTGTTCACAACCGCAGGCACAGATTTAAAAAAAAAAGAATTTTGCAATAATCCAACTCTACTTGTGCTACGGCTAAAATAAGGTTAAGGCAGAGGTCTTACTCTCCTCCGTGTATACATAAACTTAAGGGTTGTCTAGCTTGTATCGCATCGATGTGTACCATACCCAAAAACGCTAAGCACGACTTTTCAATAATACACAAGCCAAGTAGCCTTTTCAAAGAGGAACACGAAATTGTTAGGATAATTTGTCTCCAAATTGTTCCTTCTCAAGACAAAACTGAAAGACATGTAGACTACTGAAACATTATAAGCTTACGCTAAAGCTCGAATCAAAGCAACAAACTACTATCATAAATTAGCTTGAGTACTAAAGTGAACGGTGTATGCTTACTTTCTGGTAACCTTGGTTCCTTCGAATGCTTCGCCAAAAAGTCTTTCGGCCCCGTAAGGGCAACTTTCGGTGGCCCCTAAAAGAAAGGAACTTAATTCTTAACAAAGCAAAAAAATATTGAGCACGATTAACATTCTTTTGCCAAATTTGTTTATTTTCATAACAACAAACGCAACTCAAAGCCAAAGCTTAAGTTTATAACTCACCATCGTTTTAGAGGTCTGCTTGTTCGTCTTGACCTCTTGTCGCACATTGGTGGAGAAATTGGAGCGATACCTGTCGGAAAAAACGTTTGAAAATGTTAGTCTTAGGTAAACTGTAAAAATAAAGATAGTTATTAAACGATGGAGAGACATGTAACCGATGAAAATCGATGTACAGTCGAGTGGAAAACTGGAAAACAGTCACTCACATCGTCGGCTTAGGAGGCCTTTCTTGAATTTTTGGAATCAAATTATAAATGCTTTCTCTTTCACCCTCGTATCTGTGTGAACAAACTTGCATAGCCATGATTAAATGTTTAACAAATCGAACGCAAATCTCACTGTAAATGCAACGCACTGCTCTCTCGAAAGATGGCGGCCTTTCTTATAAAACACCCGGGTGTTGACTGCGTGTTGCCAAGCAATAGTTGTTGTCACGTGACCAGAAATTCTGAGTTTTCTTATAAGTTACCAAGGAAACAGCATCTCATTCCCAGTTCACCGGCGACGAAAGTTGGCCGGGGCTGGTTAAGTCCTGGCAACTTTTCAGGGCCGATCAGGGCCAGAAATCAAACATTCAAAGCAAAATTTATAGAAACATAGCGCGGTTATTTTTACTAGCTAATAAACCAGTCCATTTTGTTTCGTCTGACAGTTTAATGACATTATCTATAAAATTATTGAAACGTCCATCTTGAATGTCAACAACAACAGCCGTTTCGGGCATCGCGACGTTCGCGAAACAGGCTTCCGTGCAGAAAAAATTTCGTTTAAAAACACGGTTTTGAGTTAAGGTGGTATTTATACACCAAACGTACAATGAAGAACGAGGAAAAAAGCACTGATCTGTTTTTTAGTTATTTTCTGTATTATTTCCGCTTGAATCTATGGTAAATTGACTAAACTCATAGAAAAAATCTGAGAAATATGGCGACTGTGATATTAATTGTTCGTGGCTAAATACGCCTCTCCCCACTGTTACACACCCATACGTTTGACATAAACAAGGTAGCATTTCTTAAGCTTTTGAGCGTTTACTTTCATAGTAATCCTACAAACTGGGACAACGATTCTCTTCTCAGCAAAATGGGAAGGCGTATGCACATATATTTCAGTTGTGCAAGAAGTATGACTAGTCTACATTGTAAGGACTAGACTCTTTAATACCATCTCTTCCATAATCTGATTACAGTGGAACCCCGCTCTACGAACACCCGCTTAATACGGACTGTTTCGTTTGTCCCGACAAAAAGCTCATATATTTTCTCTAAAATTAACCCGCTTTATAAGGACACCGGTTAATACGGACAACGGACACTTTTCTGTGTCCCGAGTCACAAACTCTCATATATTGTCAACCCGCTTTACGGACACTGGTTATTTGCACACTGTCTATTTTCATTGTCACAATTATATGACAATTGTAGACATTGTACCCTGTTCAAATAATGACAGATTTTTACGGGTGAATAAAATTTTATTACATGACTGAAAAAAAAAACAGTAACAAAGTAGCGTGACATATTTGATTTTGAAGAGTCTCGGCTGTCTTTCTTCCGGTGTTTGACTCTTGTACTACGTATAGTCCTTCAATAAAGTTTTCTGCCTCCTGTTACACAAGTTTCACTTCCTTGGCTTTTTGTTGCAGTCATTGCTCTTAAACTTCTTCCTCTTTGACGTTGTTTCCTTGCTGCGAGCTGTAACATTGCTAACGTCTAGTAATTGTTCAAGTAAATCCACGTGTTTCCGAGGACCATCAAAAATGTAGACGCATGTTATTTCCATACCAAGACCTCCACCCCGATTGACTGTCTTTCCACATACTTCTACCGATCCTTGGTTCGTAAAACTGTCTGCTTTGGTCTTTGTATCAATAAAGCATGTGTTCCTGACGTTTTCTCTGAGAGCCCGCTTAATACGGAAACCCGGATAAAACGGACACTATGGCATGTCCCCTTGGTGTCCGTATTAACCGGGTTCCACTTTATACCTCTTTTCACCTTTTGCATTTCAGTATGCAAGTTATGATGAGAATCTTTATAAAAAGATAAGTTTTACGAAAGAGCAGTTTGTTTTGGATTTCTCAAGGAGACCACGCCCATTTCGATTAAATGGCCTCAGACAAAAATATAAGTTGATGAAGAACGTCTGAGGACCCTTTTATCTCCTCCCATCCAGTAAAATAAGGAATCATGGTCACTCACTCACTCCTATGTACTTCCTTAAAGTAGGACTGAACGTTTTAAACGCTGTTTTATTAATAGGTGTCTTTCCAACTTTTTCTAAGTGTCAATTGTAATCCAGAACGTTGTTTTTGGAATTAATAACTAGCTCATATATTTATTTTCATTTATTCATTTGATCGAAAATGCGCTGTGTACCGACCACACTGAGGCAGTACATACAGTAAGGATCGAGGGAAGAGAGAAGGCAGTCGTCTCCCTTGGATTTGTTTTGGTCAGACATCAGAACTTTTCCTCCGAATTTCGAACCCTCGACTTTTCGAAACCCCCGATATTTCGAACTAACTGGTGCGCCCTTTTAAATCGAGACTTCCACGCGTCGGCACATTTCTTGAACAACACAACAAGTTACGCTGGGAATCTCATTTTGGCTTACTAAACTTTATCGTGCAGTAAAAACCAAACAATGAGAACTCCGCACTAACGCGTTTAATTTGGGTAGCTCCCGATCCCGAGCACGTGGTTTTGTTTCACGGCGTTTCACAACGACAAGGAGACGCCCGCGCACAGCATGCTGGAAGTTATTAAAACTACAAAAAGATTGGAACGGGTCGATTGGAGCGGACTTAGGTAATAGATTGTTCTATTGTTGAGGATTATTATTTCAGTTTTCTCACAAGTAAATAGTCGTTTTTAGTTTTCTCACCAGGCTACTACTACTAGTTGCGCTTGTCTCGTTAGAGTCGGGATAGTAGTAGCCTTGTGAGAAAACTAAAAACGACTATTTACTATTTACCAACTCTGGCCCTGTTATGACAGCGACTATACCGTACATCAGACGCACCTCTGAAACTATTGCACGTATATTACAACCTTACAATATACGTGTTGCACACAAACCGATAACCACTTCACGGCGACTGCTTACTAATATCAAGGGCAAAGACAAACCGGAGGACAGACAGGGAGTAGTATACAAGATCAAATGCTGCGACTGCCAGGCTTCTTACGTTGGTGAAACCGGCAGAAACCTAAGCACACGACTGACCGAACACAAACGAGCTACGAAGAATGGTGACGTTAACAATCACATTGCTGAGCACTACTTAAAGACGAAACATCAAATTGACTGGGACTCTGCGACATGTATAACGTATTCTACAGACTACTATCAACGTCTTACTTTAGAAAGCTGGTTTACTAACTTAGAACAAACGCCACTGAATCGAAGCCAACAGTTACCAGCGCCGTACAAACGACTTATTGACGAGATCAAGCAAAACTAACTACGAGAGAATGACAATTTGACTAACAATAGACGACTGTTTAACTGTGACAATAGACGGATCGAAACGCACCAATTACTGATTACGAGTCTTCGTAGCCAATAACATCACGGCTTAACTGACAGACGACCAATAACATCACGACTTAATTGACCAATCAAATCAATAACCAGAGTATAATACCACCAACTGACGTGATACAACTCACTTTGACTCTGAAGATGATTACCGCACAGGTTGTCGAAACGTCAGTCAGTGTCAACAACAACAATCCTGTTCAGGAACACGTTCACCCGGACGATCAAACTCAACCCACTTTTGAAGAATGAATAGTCCCAAACGTCAGATAATAACCTACGCGCAGAGAGACTAACTCCTTCCCATGCCTGTCAGTCGCCCGAAACTTGCTTTTTTCGCGGCCCCTGTCGCCCCAGCCCTCTACAACAACAACGACAACAACAACAACAAAATATTTTATTTCCCTTATTGAGGTTTACAAGGGTGCACTAGCGAGCAGGTAGCTATAGAACTGATCTCTGTGGGCCAGTCAGTTTACATGTAGGGAATATTTTATTTAACATGATTAAAATGAGGAAAGATCGTACGAAGAGAAAAAAATACAGTGCATGAAAGATTTACAAAATATAAAGTGTTTCGGAAAAAAACTGGTATCAGTTCATTCTGTTGCGCCTCTTCTCGCGAATCTGGCCATTTTCTACTCTCGTCCGTTTTGCCCAACGGATTTACCATGACAGTAGCTCAGTGAATGACAACATATATTTTTTTTAAGAATTACCTTACGCAAAAAGCAGCTTACTTTGCATCAGGGACCCAGCCGTAAAGAGTTCCGAAACTTGGTTTATCAACTTAGTTGATTTAGCGAAGCCACACTTGTGTTAACATTGAACTGAAACTTACGCACTTCGTCACAGCAAGTGGGGGCTAGAATTAAAAACCTCAGTTTTTCGACCTTTTTACGATGGAATATCGATTTTAAATTGAACTCAGTTGATAACTCAAGTTTTTGTAGTTCATTATGCCATTGACACATTATGGAACTGCAAAATTTCACGGAAGGGAGATCGCGCAACAAGAGAGCATGACGATTTGATTGGTCACGTAGTTTTTTTCGTTAGATATAACAACTAATTTTAGTCGCAGCTTTCTAGCGACATGACTCAGTATGTCGATGAATAGGTGACCATTAACATCTCTTCATTTACCTAACAAAAATTTCCTTGACTCGAAAGGAGCTTTGTCGGGATTACAAACATTTGAATTTCCGTCTGTTAACCATTTGCACTCATTCACCTGACCGCAATCAAATGTTACTACAGCCTACTACGTCTATCTTGAACGTTAATAGTATAGCCAAGCCACTGACCCGGCGGCCTTGAATTGAAAGCGGTTTTATTGGGATTACAATACCCTTTTAAACGTTTATCTCCTACCCATAAAAAATATCTTTTGAAAAAACTCCAGCTGTATTGAATCGTTCCACACATTCGCCTCATTGCAATATGATTACTAAGGTCAACTAAGTCTATCAAAAAAATGTGTGGGAGGGGACTTCCTAGTAATTGGCTAAAGAAGATATGTCAGTAGATGGATTGGACTGGATTGATTATCACTGCGCTTTGCTTTTTTCAAGAGTTAGTAGAATAGGGTCGGAAATTTTCGGGATTTTGGCGGTAAACATATTCTTGTAAGAAGGGATTAAAACTATGAAGATTATAAGACAAATGCATGATAAGCAGAAAGTCACTAACATCGGATCGCCAAAAATGCATTTGGTCAGAAGTGACGAAGATGGGGTAAGTAATTGGCCACAGAATTGACTATAACGGGTTAGGAGTTCTGAGAGGCCAGCGGCACACGCCCAGCAAAAA